GATTACAGGCTTGAGCCACCGTGCCCGGCTTTTCATTGCATTTAAAATAAACTCATTACTCTGATTTTAAAAGCTTCATGATATTTGACTTCTTGCCATGCCTCTAACCTCACCTTTCCCACTCTCCTCCCTCATCTGCCTTGCGCCAGCCTCACTGACCTTTCTGCAATTCCTCAAACATGCCAACCTCATCCCAGCCTTACCCTTCTGCTCAGGTGATGACTGAATACAATTCATAATTTTCAAATCCTAGATTGCTTGGAAATAGATATAAAGAATGTTATTGGGGCAATTGAGGGAATTTCAGTATACTGTGTATTAGATAATAGTTATATCAGTGTTAAATGTCTTTTTTGTGAGTTACAATTTTTTTTACACAAATAAAGGCAAATCAATGTTAAATGTCTTTAGTGGGCTAATCCTACTGTGGTTATGTAGGAAAATGTCCTTGTTCTTAGGAGTCACATGCTAAAGTGTTCAGAGATTAAATATGATGTCTAACATTTCTGGAGGAATTGTGGCAAAACATTGACAAATGGTAAATCCAAGGGAAGGATATATTGGTGTTCATAGCAGCATTCTTTCAACTTTATCCTGGGTTTGATTTTTTTCAAAATAAAAGAGTGAAAGGTAGACGATTTAAAGAAAAATACTTTAATCCAGGAATACTTAAAAATCACTAGGGCATTTGTCAATGCCCTTCTAAAGATTCAGAAGATCTGGGTGGGACCCAGGAGTCTGCCTTTTCATGGCCCGGGCAACCCTCAGGCAGCTGCACAGGCCACACTTTGAGCAGGTTCACTGAGCACTCTGCCCTTGGAGTGTGGCTCGCTGGCACAGCCCATTATTTCCCATTCTCCAGCTGAGGAGTGGCTGACTGAAAGATCAGGCAGGTGGATGGAGACGTGATTTTACAGTGAGGGTGGAACTGGAGATTGTGGACATCGTAGAGAATGGTGAAGAGTTGAGGAAAGATTTTGTCTTCCTGCCCTGTCTTTTGGCTTCTGGAGGAATAGAAGAGGCTCCTAGAACTCAGGGAAAGAATGGAATGAGGGCTCCAAACTCCTAATACCAGTGCTTCTCTGACTCCATTTTACACCCCGTTGGATAAATATCATCTGTAAACAAACAAACAAAAAAAGAAGTCACAATAAATTTTGAAGTATTCCCCAAATTCCAGTGTTCCAGGAGTCTTGAGTCTTGAATTCAACATAGATGCAGACTGAACACGTCAGCACGTCATTCTGACTTCTGACCAGAAGGTGGCAGCAACATACCTTGCTTCATTTTAGGGGCCTCCAACCAAGAGACTTTTCCGGTGACCCACACGCATTTGATTGACCTAGGTCCCACCCCAGACACCACGGACAAAAAGATGAGTAAGATCTGATCGCTGCCCTCAAAGATCATATTGTCAGGGAGCAGAAAGTCAGAGTCAGACATATAAACAGATTATTAGTTACTAGCTGTGTGACCTTAGGAAAGTTGCTTAATCTCGCTGTGCCTCAGTTTCTTCAACTATGAAGTGGGAATAGTAACAGTACCTATGTCATAGGGTTACTGTGAGGATTAGGAGTGATTAAATAAATGTGTTAGACCTAGCAAAGGGTGGTCATTACTATGTGATACAGTGAGAGAAGGGATGAGCTGGCAGAGATGCCCACGGTGCTCCCTAACTGGCAGCAGTGGAGCCCCAAGTGGAGACAATGGGAAAGAGTTCCACTCTGGTAAAGCCACTCTGTCAGTGGGGACCTTGCAGCCAAACTGGGCTGGGAGAGTCTACCTTCAAAAGTGTGGTGCTGGATCCCTTCTGGCTGAGGCTCAACTTGGGTCCTGTGGGCACAGAGCGCAGAACACCAGCAGGGTCACTCAGGGCCTGATCAATCAGGATGCGCCCTTCCAGAGAGGAAACCACCACTAGCTCACGGTACAAGCTCAGACATGCAACTTGGTCCCTCTGACCCCCAGTTCTTACTTAAGTGATGGGGAAATAGGACCGCAGGAACCAAGGAACAGTGCTGAGTTCCACATCTGGGACATCGCAAGAGCAACTATATATTCAGGCAATTCAGGGGCAACAAGGACTTGGAGCTAGGGACTTAAAAATAAAGCTCGGTGGCCAGGTATGGTGGGTCACGCTTGTAATCCCAGCACTTTGGGAGGCTGAGGTGGGTGGATTACCTGAGCTCAGTAGTTTGAGATCAGCCTGGGCAACATGGTGAAACCCCATCTCTACCAAAAATACAACAAAAATTCGCCATTGTGGTGGTGCGCTCCTGTAATCCCAGCTACTCACGGACTGAGGCAGGAGGATCATTTGAACCTGGGGGGTGGAAGTTGTAGTGAGCTGAGATTGTGCTACTGCATTCCAACCTGGGTGACAGAGTGAGACCCTTCTCAAAAAATAAAAATAAAATAGGCTGGGCGCTGTGGTTCACACCTGTAATCCCAGCACTTTGGGAGGCCAAGGTGGGCAGATCATGAGGCCAAGGAGATCAAGACCATCCTGGCCAACATGGTGAAACCCTGTCTCTACTAAAAATACAAAAATTAGTTGGGCATGGTGGCGCGCCCAGGATGTAGTCCCAGCTACTTGGGAGGCTGAGGCAGGAGAATCACTTGAACCCAGGAGGCGGAGGTTGCAGTGAGGCGAGATCGTGCACTGTACTCCAGCCTGGTGACAAAGTGAGACTCCATCTCAAAAAATAATAGTAATAATAATAATAAAATAATTAAATAAAAACAAAATAAAGCTGGGAAGACAAAGGAATCCTGGAGAGGACCCTAGACTTCACCCAGGATGTGGAGTGGAGGTTTAGGTTTTTAAATTTTATTTTGGTTATTTATTTATTTATTTTGAGACAGGGTCTCAGTCACTGGGGCTGGAGTACAGTGGTTCGGTCACGGTTTACAGCATACTTGACCTCCTGGGCTCAGGTAATCCTCCCACCTCAGCCTTTCAAGTAGCTGGGACTACAGGTGCATGGCACCATGCCTGGCTAATTTTTTTGTGTTATGTAGAGATGGGGTTTCTCCATGTTGCCCAGGACTGGTCTTGAACTTCTAGGATCAAGCGATCTGCCCACCTTGGCCCCCAAAGTGCTGGGATTACAGGTGTGAACCACCTCGCCTGGCCTGGCATGGAGGTTTGTGTCAATCCTAGACGTGGAGAGGCAAGGAAACCCCAGCTGACAGATGCAAGTATTAGGGATGTGCTGAAGCCGGGGGTAAGGCTGGGAGGAACTTAGCATGTCTTTTTATTTTTTATTTTTTGAGACAGAGTGACTCTGTCGCCCAGGCTGGAGTGAAGTGGCATGATCTTGGCTCACTGCAACCTCTGCCTCCCAGGTTCAATAGATTCTCCTACCTCAGCCTCCCAAGTAGCTGGGATTATGGGTGTGTGCTACCATGCCCGGCTAATTTTTTGTATTTTTAGTAGAGGTGGGGTTTCACCATGTTGACCAGGCTGATCTCGAACTCCTGACCTCAGGTGATCTGCCTGCCTTGGCCTCCCAAAGTACTGGGATTACAGGCGTGAGTCACCGCACTCCGCCGGCATGTCTTTGTTCTACGACTGTTCTTTGGCCAGCCATGGATCTCTTTACTCTCCCAATCTCCCACCCTCTCTTGCCTACATGCCCTCCTAATCCAGCTCTGAGTCCGTGGCCTGACATTTAATAGCACTCTTGGCCGGGCATGGTGGCTCACACCTGTAATCCCAGCACTTTGGGAGGCTGAGGCAGGCGGACCACTTGAGGTCAGGAGTTCGAGACCAGCTTGACTTACATAGTGCAACGCCATCTCTACTAAAGTACAAAAATTAGCCAGGCATGGTGGCGGGCACCTGTAATCCCAACTACTAGGGAGGCTGAGGCAGGAGAATCGCTTGAACCCAGGAGGCGGAGGTTGCAGTGGGCCGAGATCAAGCCACTGCACTCCAGCCTGGGTGACAGAGCAAGACTATCTCTCAAAATAATAATAATAATAATAAAATAAAAAAATAGAACTCTTGCCAGTAACCTAAACTTCATTACTCACCTTCCCTGCAAACCCCTGAACACATGCAATCGTTGTTTCTCTTCCAGTCTTCATCAGAGCAGCCAAGGGAGGCAGGAGGAGAAGGGGCGATGAGAATACTGGCAAATACTTCTACAGCATGTACTAGGTGCCAAGCACTAAGTGCTTTACAGAGGGTAACTTGCTTAATCCTCCCAACACCATGAGATAAGTATTGTTATTATCATTCCCATTTGTGGATAAAGAAAATGGGGTGGCCCAGCACGGTGGCTCACGCCTGTAATCCCAGCACTTTAGGAGGCCAAGATGGGCAGATCACAAGGTCAGGAGATCGAGACCATCCTGGCTAACACGGTGAAACGCCGCCTCTACTAAAAATACAAAAAAATCAGCTGGGCGTGGTGGTGGGCGCCTGTAGTCCCAGCTACTCGGGAGGCTGAGGCAGGAGAATGGCATGAGGCTGGGAGGCGGAGCTTGCAGTGAGCCGAGATTGCACCACTGCACTCCAGCCTGGGCGACAGAGCGAGACTCCATCTCGGAAAAAAAAAAATGAGGTGAACAAAGGTTAAGTCACTCAGAAAACCCAAAGCACATAGCTAATTAAGGTGTGCAGCCATGATTGAACCTGCGCCGTTTGCCCAGAGTCCCCGTCCACCAGGGGAGGGTGAGGCCAAGGAGGACTTGGCTTCTTCTGCCTTGTGTCCTGCACTGCTCTCAGCTACCAGGGGCACAGTCCAGAAGAAGGCCAGACCCTCACTGCTCTTGGGGCTGACGTTATCACTCTGGAGGTTAATAATAATAATAGTAATAATAAAACCAGTTTCCATTTTCAGGCTTTAAGATGTGTGTCCTAAGCACTTCACATGTATTTATTTATTCCTTTAGTCCTCCCAACAACACTATGAGGTAGAAGCTACAGTTATCTCCCTTTTCTTGAGGGACATGAAGGGACATAGCGATGAGCCTAAATTCTACAACACAGAGTTGTGGATCAGATGGGAAGTGTGGCGGCTGGATGCCAGAGCCCAGCTCTTAAGCCAGACTCTTTGCCTACCTTTGCTCTGCCTGGTGTCTCTGGCCTGCTCCTTCTGCTTGAGGGGAGGAGCCTCTTCTGCCTTGCAGTTCCTCACCCAGGCCTGATCCACAGCTCCAGAGCCCTGCTGTGGCAGCCGTCTGTCCCTTCTCCTCCGAGGCATGTAGGTGGCCAGCAGAGCGCTTAAGCAGGGTGAGGACGGGACCTCCATCTGGAACGCCCCAGACCCAGCCGCAGCCCCAGCAGCCTCTACTCTCAGTAGGCTTGGGTTCCCCACAAGCGCCCTGTAGACAGGGCCTGAGCTGGTCCTCCCCAGGCCTTGCCCGCCTCTCCAGGTACAGCGCTGGCTCCCTGCTCCTGGAGGGTGGGGCCAAATCTGGGATAGATGGGGCTCCAGGCCAACGGCAGCTGGGGCTCAGTGCCCAGGACTGTGGCAGGAAGCACCAAGGCTTCCCTAGCCCCCTCCTCACACCCACCAAGCCTTCTGGCCCTATCCCAGGTGGGGCCCTACCCCTCCCCATTCCCAGGAACTGGGGGAGGCCAAGCTGTCATTTATCCATCCTGTCCCATCTCTCCCTTCCTCCCGCTTCCCACTCCCCTGGCAACCAAACCAGACCCATCAAGGAGAAGGAACTGGCAGCTGTGCAGGGAGAGACTAATGGCCCGGAAGGAAGGAGGGGCCTGGAGAGGAGACGAAGGCGGTAGGGACGTGAGTAGGGCGTTGGCCCTGGCCCATCTCAGAGGACACACAGAGGGGGGAGGGGGACACTGCCCTGCAATACTGAGGAGCTGGCCAGCCAGGGAGCCGCCCTCCTCACCCCCAGCCAGATATCCAGGCAGGAGCCTCAAATCTGCTTCCCCAGATGCACTCTCTTGTCCTCAGGTCCCATCTGAGGCAGACCTGTCTCACAGGAGAGTGCTGGAGTCCCCGGCAGCAGCAGCATCCCCAGCCCTATGGTTCCTGGCAAACCCAGCAGACCTCAGCAACCCGGCTCCTGCAGATGATCCGAACTGCCTCTGTCCACTCCTGGGCAGGTTGTGCTTGCATTCTGGAAGCTGTTTGACATACAAAGGCCAGATATCAGCCTTCCCGCTAACTCTGGGGTAGGGGAGGTGTGGTGGGGTGTGTGATTGTGTGTGTATTTGTGTGTATGTAATGTGTGTGCACATATACAAGGCTGTGTGTATGCATCCGTTTGCATGCACAGGTTTGTGGACCTGTTTTGGGGCCTTCTCTCTTTCAGACTGCTGGGGATGGGTACCTTCTCTTTCCCCATCTCTTCCCCATCCAGCCCCACCCATCCCTGGTACCTGCAACACATCAATACTGGAAACCAGCTCCTGCCAGTCCATCCATCTCTCAGCCTTGGCAGCACCCTCAGCCCCCTCCCCTTCCTACCTCAGGAATCACTCTGGTTCCCGTAAAGCCCATGACTGAGCAGCAATTGGTGTGGGGTTGGGGGGAGGGAGAATCCAGTAAACCCAGACAGAATACAAAAGGCCCACTCAGCCTAGCCCGTGGCATGGGGCAGACCCTCCTGCGTGGGATCCAGAGCTGGGTCCAGCCACCCTCAGCCCCCTATGATGTACCCACCTCACTGGGGCTTCTTGGGGGGGTATGTCTAGGTTTGGGGGCTGTGTCTTTAAGGCTGAAACATCAGCAGACAACCTCTGCTGGGCAGTGTTCAGGGGAGGGGGAGGGGAAGCAGGGCTGGTCAGCCCATTAGCAGCAGAGCTGGCGCCAGGCACCAGCCCTTCACAGGGCCCTGGGGATTAGGGAGAGTAGCTCTTCCCCAGCCCGATCTGCCTCTGCGCCCCTGTCTCCTGTTCCTCTCTGGGTGTGGTGAAGGAGGGGTAGCTGACAGCAGGTGAAAGTAGAGCCTGGCCTTCAGGGGGCAAGTCAAGGCACCAGCTATGGGGCCTAAGCCAGGTCAGCTCTCCCTCCAGCTGGCCTCCTCCCTACTCCTGTGCCAGAAGCCTGCCCTTTAACTTCAGGTCCTTCTACCTCGCAATTTTCAGGGACCCTAGTTTAAATCAGGCCTTCCTACCCTAGGTTCTAGCTTTGGGTGCTTGTTGGGAGATAGTGACCCCCACTCCAGCCGCAACAGGGGGCAATCAAGTGGGCAGAGGCCTGCAACCAGGGAAGGGAGGGGAAGGCGCTCCTGCTGTTCCGCAGGGGTGGGGCATCCCCCTCCCCACACAACCCCCCTCCAGCGGGCCATCAGGCCAGTAGGAGGAGCTGCCCGTGCCCCCCCTGAGACCGCAGGGCTATAAAGCCGCCTCGCAGCGGTCTGCGGCTCCTTCCCAGCCCCTGGCCTAGCTCTGCCAACGGTGACTGCCCATCCTCGGCCGCAATGAGCCACCACCCATCGGGCCTTCGGGCCGGCTTCAGCTCCACCTCATACCGCCGCACCTTCGGGCCACCGCCCTCACTATCCCCCGGGGCCTTCTCCTACTCGTCCAGCTCCCGCTTCTCCAGCAGCCGCCTGCTGGGCTCTGCGTCCCCGAGCTCCTCGGTGCGCCTGGGCAGCTTCCGTAGCCCCCGGGCGGGAGCGGGCGCCCTCCTGCGCCTGCCCTCGGAGCGCCTCGACTTCTCCATGGCCGAGGCCCTCAACCAGGAGTTCCTGGCGACGCGCAGCAACGAAAAGCAGGAGCTGCAGGAGCTCAACGACCGCTTCGCCAACTTCATCGAAAAGGTGCGCTTTCTGGAGCAGCAGAACGCGGCCCTGCGCGGGGAGCTGAGCCAAGCCCGGGGCCAGGAGCCGGCGCGCGCGGACCAGCTGTGCCAGCAGGAGTTGCGCGAGCTGCGGCGAGAGCTGGAGCTGTTGGGCCGCGAGCGTGACCGGGTGCAGGTGGAGCGCGACGGGCTGGCGGAGGACCTGGCGGCGCTCAAGCAGAGGTCAGGGGGCAGGGCTGGACCGCGGCCGTCGAGGCGAGGTCGAAGCGGCCGTCGAGGCGGCTGCTCTTCCCTCCCCTCGATTCCCCTCTCCATCAGCAGCCCAAGGGTGTGGCTCCCCTTACCAACCCAGGTGTGTGCAGGCAGCATCCTTGCCCACGGACTCCAAGTCCCCCTCGCCTCCCACTTTGCTCTGAGTGTCTGGGGAGGTGGGAGAAGTGGGTATCTGTGCCTCTCCTGAGTAATGTCGGAACCCCCTTTTCAGCTCCCAGTCCGTTAGAGAGAAAGCGAGGCAATTTTATCAGGCAGCCTCAGTCCTCCATTTAGAGTCCTGGGCAGCAACAACAGCCTCTAACCAGATCCCGGGGAGGCGCGCGGTCTGGGGTGCCAGCTGGGCGGCGACCCAGCAGTTCAGCCTCTGCACGCTCTTCCCGTCAGGCTGGAGGAGGAAACGCGCAAGCGGGAGGACGCGGAGCACAACCTCGTGCTCTTCCGCAAGGTGAGTCTGAGCCCCTCTCCGAGTTCAGCCTCCCCACCCCAACCCCTGACCTCAGTATCCAGAGGTGGCATCGGTGGGCGCGGGGAGAAAGGGGCAACCAGACGCCTCCCGAGGCAGACAGGGAGGTCTGGTCCTTCCTCGGCCTACGCAGCCCCTAACTTCTCTTGAACCTCCACTGCTACCCCTCGAAGGACGTGGACGACGCCACTCTGTCCCGCCTGGAGCTAGAGCGCAAGATTGAGTCTCTGATGGATGAGATTGAGTTCCTCAAGAAGCTGCACGAGGAGGTAAGTGGGCCCAGTATCAGGGGCGGCTTCTGAGGTTGTGAGGTGGTCTTGCTGGAGCTGGCAGGCGGAGCGGAGGCATCGCCCTGGGGATCAGGACGATGCTGGGTAGACGCAGCCCCTCCACCCCAGTCTACAGGTGGTTAGACTCCCACCCTTGCGCCACCTGGCGGCGGGCAGCGGGGCTGTACCTCCGAAACCTGGCCTCTGGTCTCGCGCCCGCGGGGGCGCAGGGCTGTACGCCCCGCCCTCCCTGGCGCCCCCTTCTGTTCGTTCAAGCGTTTCTTCTCTTTTCTGTGCACGAACTGCGTGGCCCGCGTGGGATTTGCGCCACTGTCCATCCTCTGCCTGCTCCCGGCCGTAGGAGCTGCGAGACCTTCAGGTGAGTGTGGAGAGCCAGCAGGTGCAGCAGGTGGAGGTGGAAGCCACGGTGAAGCCGGAGCTGACGGCAGCGCTGAGGGACATCCGCGCGCAGTACGAGAGCATTGCCGCGAAGAACCTGCAGGAGGCGGAGGAATGGTACAAGTCCAAGGTGCGAGAGCCGGGTGGCCTGCAAGGCGGGGCGCTGGGGTGGTGTCGCGCTTCCCAGCCGACTCAAGCCTGGGTTACCCCCACTTCGCAGTACGCGGACCTGTCCGACGCCGCCAACCGGAACCATGAGGCCCTGCGCCAGGCCAAGCAGGAGATGAACGAGTCCCGACGCCAGATCCAGAGTCTGACATGCGAGGTGGACGGGCTGCGCGGCACGGTGAGTACGAAGCTGCGCGCCCGGGCCCGGGGAGCGGACGATGAATGTTCCGCAACTGGCCCCTTCCACTCCCCTACCCCAGAACGAGGCGCTGCTCAGGCAGTTGAGAGAGCTGGAGGAGCAGTTCGCCCTGGAGGCGGGGGGCTACCAGGCGGGCGCCGCGCGGCTCGAGGAGGAGCTGCGACAGCTAAAGGAGGAGATGGCGCGGCACCTGCGGGAGTACCAGGAGCTCCTCAACGTCAAGATGGCCCTGGACATCGAGATCGCCACCTACCGCAAGCTGCTGGAGGGCGAGGAGAGCCGGTGAGGGTGGGGCTGCTGGGGCGGGGCAGGGAGGGGTCGGGACTGGGTGGGGAGGGCCGGGGCCTGGACAGGGGCTCTGACAGCTTGCTTCGCCTCCAGGATCTCCGTGCCCGTCCATTCTTTTGCCTCCTTAAGTATAAAGACGACTGGTGAGTCTGCCTTGCAGCCTGTACCTCTCCTTGTCCACTTCTGCGCTCCTCGGGCTCCTGCTCTGACTCACCTCAGGGATCTGTTCTCACAGAATTTCTGGGTCTTGGCCTATACCCACCCCTACTCCTCACACCCCACCCCTCCCCTGCCCTCAGATACAGCAGTGGGAGCCTAAGAGGAGATATTCCCAAGCCTTACCCCTTGAATCCTTCATCCTACTTTCTCCAGTGCCTGAGGTGGAGCCTCCCCAGGACAGCCACAGCCGGAAGACGGTTCTGATCAAGACCATTGAGACCCGGAATGGGGAGGTGAGGCATGGCCCCTAATCCCAGGACCCCACCATTTCCCATATTGTTTCTCAGTCCCAGCCTGGCTGTCGCTAATCTTACATAGGGTGGGTAATTATTGGGGAGAGACAGAGGAGGAGACAGAGAACATGGATAGATAAACAGGAATCTCTGCTGATTACCCCAAGGAGTGGGGCTCTATGATTCAAAGGAGTAGGATGGAGGGTGGCGCTGAATGGCTTGTGCTCATCATGTGCCCTGTCCCCAGCAGGTGGTGACAGAGTCCCAGAAGGAGCAGCGCAGTGAGCTGGACAAGTCTTCTGCCCACAGTTACTGAACCCCTTGGTTCAGAGCCTTGACTCTGCCCTAGGCCTGCTCTAAGCCCAAACCCTAACACAACTCCTGAATTGTCTCCTCTTCCTCTGCATGTGTCTAAAAGGTGGTACCAGGCATCCCTTTCCTGGCTTATGGCCAAGCCCTACCCGGCCAGCAGTCGCTGAGCCTCTCCCTGCTCTGACACTTGATGTGACCTATGTGCTCCCCTTTTCATGTCCCGATAAGAAGCCAATGATCCCCCCCTCAGGACAAATCTACTCCAGCCACGATGAGACGTGGGTGAGCCAGGGTCTGAGTTTCACGTTTGAACCAAATAAAATGCTGTCAAGAGAAAACTCTCCAGTGCATTTGTGTCTGTGGAAGTGTGTGTGGGGTACCTGAGGGGAGGAGCCTCAGCGATGTTCTCCCTTTTCCTCGAGTCATTTCTTTTCTGGCTGTCACTCTCTTGGCATCAATATACTCTTCTAGGTTTTCTGTCTCTGTCCATTCCTTCTCAGCTTTTGTTCCTCACCTGCAGCCTAGAATGCTCAGCCACCTGCTGGGTGCCTCACAGGTCACTCAAACTCAATGTGTCCCAAACAGAGCTCCTCACCTCCCTCTGCAATCATGCTCTTCCTCTGGATTCCCCGCCCGAGAAGAAGGCACCACTAAGACACCTAGTGCCCAAGTTAGAATTCAGCTCAACTTACGCACCCTCCTTTTCTTCACCTGACTCCCAATTCTGTGAAGTCTACTTCTTTTGCTATTTAAAAAATTTTAATAGGCCAGGCAAGGTGGCTCACACCTGTAATCCCAGCACTTTGCGAGGCCGAGGCAGGTGGATCACGAGGTCAGGAGATCGACACCATCCTGGGTAACATGGTGAAACCCCGTTTCTACTTAAAAAAAAAAAATAGCCAGGCGTGGTGGTGGGCACCTGTAGTCCCAGCTACTCGGGAGGCTGAGGCAGGAGAATGGAGTGAACCCAGGAGGCCGAGCTTGCAGTGAGCTGAGATCGCACCACTGCACTCCAGCCTGGGTGACAGAGCTCAAAAAAAAAAAAGCCGGGCGTAGTGGCACATGCCTGTAGTCCCAGCTACTTGGGAGGCTGAGGCAGAAGAATCAATTGAACCCAGGAGGCAGAGGTTGCAATGAGCTGAGACCGCACCACTGCACTCCAGCCTGGGCAACAGAGTGAGACTCTGTCTCAAAAAAAAAATTAATATATAAAAATTATTTATTTATTTATTTATTGAGATGGAGTTTTGCTCTTGTTGCCCAGGCTGGAGTGCAGTGGCGCAGTCTCCACTCACTGCAACCTCCACCTCCCGGGTTCAAGCAATTCTCCTGCCTCAGTCTCCCAAGTAGCTGAGATTACAGGTGTGCACCACCATGCCCAGCTAATTTTGTATTTCTTTTTAGTAGAGACGAGGTTTCACCATGTTGGTCAGGCTGGTCTCGAACCCCTGATCTCAAGTGATTCACCCACCTCGGCCTCCCAAAGTGCTGGGATTACAGGCATGAGCCACTGCACCCGGCCAAAAAAAATTTTTAAATTTGTTTCATGAGTTGGGATCTCGCTACGTTGCCCAGGCTTGTATTAAACTCCTGGGTTCAAATGATCCTCCTGCCTCAGCTGGCCAAAGTAATGCTAGGATTACAGGCACAAGACATCATGTTAGGCTTTTTTTTTTTTTTTGAGACGGTCTCACTCTGCCACCCAGGCTGAAGTGCAGTGGCACAATCATAGCTCACTGCAGCCTTGACCTTCTGGGTTCAAGTGATCCTCCCACTTCAGCCTCTTGAGTAGCTGGGACCACAGAAACATGCCACCACTCATGGCAAATTTTTCCATTTTTTGTAGAGCTAGGGCCTCTCTATGTTGCTCAGGCTGGTCTCAAACTCCTGGGCTCAAGTGATCCTCCCACCTCAGCATCCCAAAATGCTGGGATTATAGGCGTGAGCCACTGTGCCTGGTATGAAGTCTACTTCTTAACTCTCTTTCAAGTCTGTCTGGTTCTCCCCGTCCCCATTACCAACATCTTAGTCCAGGCTACCATCATATCTTGCCTGGGTCACATTATCTACATTATCAATGGTTTCCTTCTCCTGGCCTGCTCTGCCACCTGCCCAAATGTATTCAATACCCTTAGTAAATCAGATTATACTATCACCATCCCTGCCCCTGCTTGAAAATGTCTATTTCCTGGTGTATCACCAGGTGTGGTGACTCATGCCTGTAATCCCAGCACTTTGGGTGGCCAAGGTGGGAGCATGGTTTGATGCCAGGAGTTCGATACCAGCCTCAGCAACACAGAGAGACCCCATTTCTACAAAAATTAAAATATTAGCTGGGCATGGTGGCATGAGCCTGTGGTCCCAGCTACTTGGGAAGCCGAGGTAGGAGGATCACTTAAGCCCAGGTCGTGGTTGCAGTGAGCCAAGAAAAGTGCCACTGCACTTCAGCCAGGGTAATAAAGTAAGAACCTGTCTCCACAAAAAAAAAGAAGAAAAAAAAGAAACACCCATGCTGTCTTCCATTCCAGCTCCATTCCTCCATTCCATCCTACCCTTGCCTTCAAGTCAAAATTCACATCTGAATTTAAGATGATCTTCTTCACTCAGCTATGGTGCTAGGTGCAAGGAATAAGCCAGAGTCCCTGATCTCAAGGAATTTACAGTTTGGGATGGGGGAGATAGGCAGCATAAGCAGACAATTTCAACCTCATAAGGAGTGCTGTCTGGGATAATAAGCACATAGTGATGTTAATATGAAGATAAGCACCTAAGCCAGGCTTAGGCAGGAGGGGTGGCTTCCCACAGGAGGTGACATCACACTAAGCACTGAAGAATGAGCAGGAGTTAGTCAGGTGAAGCAAGGAGAGAAGGACTTTCTAGGTAGAGAAATGAGCCGGGAGGTAAGACAGCGAATTTGGAAACTAAAAGCAGTTTTATAATGATGGAGTGAAGGCTAGAATGGAAGGAACAGCATTGATGCTGGAAAGACGAATAAGGGCCCAGTCATGGAGGGCTTGATAAGCCATGTTAAAGCAGTCAGGTTTTTGTTTTTTAATTAATTAATTAATATATTTATTTAGGTATTTGTTTGAGGCAGAGTCTCACTGTGTTGCCCAGGCTGGAGTGCAGTGGTGAGATCTCACCTCCCAGGTTCAAGTGATTCTCTTCCCTCAGCCTCCCAAGTAGCTGGGACTACAGGCGCGTGCCACCACACCCGGCTAATTTTTCCCAGCCTCAGGTGATCCACCCACCTTGGCTTCCCAAAGCGCTGGGATTACAGGCATAAGCCACTGCACCTGGATTTTCTTTTCTTTCTTTCTTTTTTTTTTTTTTAATTTAAAGACAGGGTCTCTCTCTGACACTAGGCTGAAGTGCAGTGGCACTATCATAGCTCACTTCAGCTTCCAACTCATGGGCTGAAGTGATCCTCCTGCCTCAGCCTCCCCAGTAACTGGGACTACAGGTGCATGCCACCACACCCAGTTAGTTTTTAAAATTGTTTTGTAGATACAGGGTCTTGCTATGTTGCCCAGGCTAGTCTCAAACTCCTGGCCTCAAGCAATCCTCCCACCTCGGCCTCCCAAAGTGTTGGGATAACAGGTGTGAGCCATCACATCCGGCCTGGAATTTATCCTAAGAAAAAGGGAAAGAAACTTAAAAGTTTTAATAAGGAGGGTGATTCAGATCTGCATTTTAGGAAGATCACTCTTGCTGAAATATGCAGAAAGAATTGGAAGGAGATGGGAGATCAGGTCAGAGGCTTTTTCAGTGAAAAATACAAGAGATGATGATGGGTATGGTCACCGGAGGTGGGTTTGAGAAATACTGGAGGGTGGAATCTGCAGTTTCTAGGATTGATTGGCAGTGTGCGGAAAAGGAATAGTAACAATGACCCACGTTTTTGCTTGAACAACCAGGCAGCTAGATGATGGTACCTTTCAAAGAAAGAGCAAAGCTGGATGCAGTGGCTCTCGACTGTAATCCCAGCTACTCGAGAGGCTGAGGTGAGAGGACTGCTTGAAGCCAAGTTCAATACCAGCCTGGACGACATCAGGAGACTCTAGCTCTAAAAAAAAAAAGGAAGACTGAAGTGAAATGGGGAAAGTGGGAACCCAAGACAACAAAGTCAGTTTTAGACTCACTGAGGATGAGATGCTCTGGAACATCCAAGGGGAAGGGATGAAGGGATGCCAGGCAGCTGGTGTCACAGGTCTGGAGTTCAGGCGTGGTTGGATATTTTGAGATACTGAATCTATTGGGATGCTTTTTATTACAAGTAACAGATAATCTCTCTAAGAAAAATAAGGCCGAGTGTGGTGGTTCACACCTGTAATCTCAGCACTTTGGGAGGCCAAGGTGAGAGGATGTCTTGAGCCCAGGAGTTCCAGATCAGTATGGACAACACAGGACAATCCTATCTATACAAAAAATACAAAAATTAGTGGCATGCACCTATAGTCCCAGCTACTCCAGATACTGAAGCGGGAGGATCGCTTGAGCCTGGGTGATGGAGGCTGCAGGGAGCTATGATCTTACCACTGCACTCCAATCTGGGCAACAGAATGAGATCCTGTTTCATAAATAAATAAATAAATAAATAGGAAATATCTCACATAACAAAGAGCCAGAGGTAGGGGGCAGGCTCTGAGGTTGGTTGATTCAGAAGCTCAATGATGTCACCAAGGACGCAGGCCCTGTCCATGGCTCTGCTCGGCCTCCTCCTTGGAGGGGTACTTTGCCCTTGGGATGGTCCTCATGATTCCACAATGGCTGTCAGCAGCTACTGGGTGATGGCAGGTATGAGATAGAAATATTTCCCATTAGACTGTTTAGCTAATGTCTTTGGTGTGTCTACTCTTGAACTAGTAACAATTGCCAGGGGACAGCTGCTGACTGGCTTGGGCTCATTATCCGGTATGGAATGGAAGTCAGGAATCCATGAGGTCACACCAGACGTTGCTCAGGCTTTCACCACTACCCTCTGCATAGGACACACGTATACACACATTCTTTACACCCTGTGCCTTTGCTCTCTTCCATTCAGCACCTATTACCTCAAAGGAGAAATATTACTGTGGAAAAGCAGACAAAAGCTTTGGGGTTTCAAATATTTAGGTGTTTAAGTAGGCAAATGTTCCAGTTTGAAAACTTTTACATCAGTTCATGGCCTCTGATTTGTACTGGGTACAAGGAAGAGAGACTGAGCCAAAGAAGGGCATGGGACGTCTCAGGTGTCACACATGGGAAGAAATGAAATCACCTGGCTGGGCGTGGTGGTTCATGCCTGTAATCCCAGCACTTTGGGAGGCCAAGGTAAGTGGATCACCTGAGGTCAGGAGTTCGAGACCAG